ATTATAGATTTTGATTTAATATTATTAACTATTTAGTATTATATACTGTTTATATAATATTCTAATATTCTTATATAATATTCTTAATAATAAGGGATTATTCCAAACTACTTAATAAGAATGTAATATTTGTAATATTTCTTCATGCCCCCAAAAATATGACAATTGAATGAATATTAATTCAGAAATTGTATGTTTAAGTCATTGATGTATGAATTGCATTTTTAATGAATTTTTGATGCATTAGAAATGGCATCATGTCAACTATTTGTGGTTCCTTTTTGTAGGTGCGAGACATAAATAGTGAAAGCGTAGTTGCTCAGCTTGAGGAAGACAACATAGCTCTTCTCGATCCCTCAGAGCCTATGGTGAGCACAAAGGAACCGGCTCCTCTGCCTGACTCGCTTTCTGAATCATCTGTGGATTCAGAGGAGATCTCAGAGGAGACCACAGAGGAGGAGGAGCTGCTGGAGGTGCCGGAGTCTGCTGAGGAAGAGGCTGTGGATGCAAGTCACCAAGTGCCTGAAGATGATGTTGAGAAACAAGCAGACAAGGCTGAGAGTGCCAAAGAGAGTGAAGTGTTATTAGAATCGCCAAAAGCTTTTGCAGTAAATGTGAAAGAACGAGATGAAGATGTTGTTGAGGATGAAGCTGAAGACGGTGGAGATGAAGATGATGAATTGACGGTGGTGGAACCTGAGATGCAGAAGAACTGTACAAATGAGGTTGGAGGTCAGACAGGTTCTCTAGAGCCTGAGAAAGATGAGACTTCAGCTGATGAAAGCGAATCATCTGCAGTCAATGTTGAGAACGTTCCTGAATCTGATTCGAAAGTCAGAGATGATGTTTGGAGATCAGCAGAGATGCTTCTTTCTACTGTGTCTCCTGTGCTGGAGAGTCCAGTTCTCCATTTTCATTTCTCCAGTGCATCGATGTCTCCTGTAGAGCAGGAAGAGGAGCCTGAGTCCAACAAGCTAGATGTGTCTGGTGAGCCTCAGGAAGTGTCTTCAGAAAAACCTGAGGGTGTTTCTGAGCAGCAAGTTCTTGAGCCACCTACAAAAGAACCGACGAGAATGCTTGAGGTTCGACCTCGGTTCACCATCGCCCCTGCGTGGCAAAGGTCATTGGCTTCTGGAGGCGCCCAAGAGCAGACCCAGACCATCTCACTGGTGCTACCAGAAACGAATGCTTCTAATGAATCTCCCCAAACAACTGAACTCATTTCTTCAGTACAAGAAGAACGACCAAAACCAGCCCCAGCTCAGAGTTCCCCTACACTTCCTGTGCGGAAAGAGACGCCCCCAGAGAACCCGTTTGGAGTGCGCTTGAGAAAGACTCCAGTCCTGCGCCGCTATGGTTTAGATGGAGAATCGCCTTGGACCCCCACTCAAACAGAGGCTTCAGGGGCGCAGGAGACCCAGGACCACGAGCAGAGCTGCAGGAAGTCTATCTTGCCAAAGAAGCCTGATCTGCTGCTAGCTGACACTGTGATGTCCGTCAGGAAAATCCCAGGTACCTCCATTCTTAAACAGCTGACTGTGTATACATGGGGGAAAAAATTACTTTTAAAATTAAAAAAAAAAATGTTTTAATCATTATTTTGTTCTGTTTTACAGTAAAGATATTTAAAATCCTGAAAACAAGATAAATCAAATATTTTTTCTTATAAATTATTTTCATTACTAAATTTAACAAATGTAAAGTCATTTAAAAGTCTTATGTGACTTTTTACTATACTAGTATTATAAATTCAATTATTTTATTGCAAATTCCATTTAAATTATTATCATTAAAATAATATGCAACATTAAAAAAGTAGTGCTGTCAAACGATTAATCGCGATTAATCACATCCAAAATAAACGTTTGTGTTTACATAATATATGTGTGTGTTCTGTGTATATTTATGTATACATAAATACACACACATACAGCATATATTTTGAAAATATTTACATGTATATATTTATATTCATATTCATTTATATTATATATAAATATATTTAATATATAAACATAACATATTTTTCAGAAATATATACATGCATGGGTGTGTATTTATATATGCATAATGTACACACACATATATTATGTAAACAAAAACTTATTTTGGATGCGATTAATCGCGATTAATCATTTGACAGCACTATAAAAAAGATTAAAATTTAATATAATTTTGCTTTTGGAGTTGAAGGGATGATCAAATATTTTTAATGTGAAACTAGACAAAATACTCATTATTTTAATCGTTTAAAAATTTTGTTTAAATAAAATTATTATTACATTTAATTATTCATTCTTATTGAATAATTATATATTTTGCAATGTAAAATAGGACAGTTGCAACCTCTATAAAACAGTTTTATAGTGCATTCAGTTCAGGAAATGTTTTTTCTTTGTGTTCTTTTGGTATTTGTAGGCTTAAATTTAAATAATCACAATTTCATGTTATTAAGACGACTTGAAATGGTATTTGCAATGCATTTAACTTACATAACGTGACATTTCAGAGCAAAGCAGAATGTTTAGAAAGAATACTGTAAATATTACAGGGCAGGGCTTTATTTTATTGATCCTAAAAAGTGGGGGTTATTTTATATTATTGTTTAGCGTAATTTTTACTCTTCTGTGTTATGTAAGCAAAAAAAAAAAGTATCATAAAAATAATATGATGCATATTTTATGTCCTTTTTCAGATACAGTGGGAAGAATATCTGTTGGTAGCCCCGAGTCTCCAAGCTGGATCTCTGTGGCCAGACAGAAACAGAGGAACTTCATCGAGAACTCGCCAGAAAACTCTCCAGAGAAACTTCCCTCGCAGGTTTGTGCTGTTGCCTCATCTAATGAACAAATATGTCATGTCAAATCTTGCCCGGTTCTCAAGGAGGTGTTTGAAAACTGTCTTAGCATCATGAAGCAACAGGACAATCGTATTCATGCATATATCCTACTTAGTCATCTCCGCATGTTGCAGCTTGGGAAAATGCAGTGTTCTGGAAAGATTTAATGAAGTGGAATGAATTGAACGCTACTCATTTTTTGTGGTAATTAGTTTTAGCCAATGCTAGAAATGCTTGATTCCTTAATGATATTTAGCGTTAATCACTCAGATATTGTTTATTCTCCCTCATTTTTTAAATGTGTCCACTTGTTCTCAGGGGGAGTCACCGAGCAGTTTATCAAATCCAATCGCCAAAGAGCAACCGGCACAGCCATGTTCACCTTTACAAGGTAATAATCTTTCCATTAGTATCATTCGCTGTCATGGCCTTACATAGCAAAGCTTTTATGGATTTAGCTTTGTTCTGTTTGGTCTAAAAAGTGCAATGACCTGCAAAGTCACAAAATATGGGATTAATCTCTTAATAGCATGAGGTTATGTTTTAAAATCAGATTGAAAAGGAAATGTATATCAATAACTGTCTGCCCTCTAGCGGATATGTATTGTAACTGTTTAAATTTCCAATATAAATACTACCATCATACAGTACTTTTTCTTACCTTTACACTGGCGGACAAATTTTTTTTTGGGGCATGTTTTTGAAAAGTCTCTTATGCTCACCAAGGCTGCATTTGTTTGAGCAAAAACTACAATAAAAATGGTACTGTTGTGAAACATTATTACCATTTTATAGAACTGTTTTCTGTTTGAATATATTTTAAAATGTAATTTATTCCTGTGATCAAAGCTGAATTTTCAGCATCATTACTCCAGTCTTCAGTGTCACATGATCCTTCAGAAATCATTCTGATATGCTGATTTGCTGCTCAATTATTAGCAATTATTATTGGTGCTAAATTATTAATAATAGATCTTATTATCCTTGTTGAAAACACTTTTTGCTGCTTAATATTTTTGTAGAAATTTTTGTACATTGTTTCAGGATTATTTGCTGAATATAAAGTTAAATAGAACACTGTTTATTTGAAATATAAATCTTTTGTAGCATTATAAATGCCAATTTAATGCATCCTTTCTAAATAAATTCTAAATAAATATATATATTTTTTTTTTTTACTTAACCAAAACTTTTTAATGGGTGTGTATTACCGTTTCCACAAAATATGAAGCAGCACAACTTTTTTCAACATTGATAATAATCAGAAATGTTTCCTGAGCAGCAAATCATATTAAAATGATTTCTGAAGGATCACGTGACACTGAAGACTGGAGTAATGATGCTGAAATATTATATGATAATTTTTACTGTATCTTTGATCAAATAAATGCAGCCTTGCTGAGCATAAGAGACTTCTTTCAAAAACATAAAACATTTTTTTTTTAAACGTAGTTATGCCAAACTTTTGGCCGGCAGTGTATGTGTGACCTATGTAATTGACCTATTGGTAAGCCCCTCCCCTCGAACGCAGATGAGCCAATGGCAGTCGAGTATCAGTTGCACGGGGAGCGGAATTTCCTAAATCTAACCAAAACTCTCATTAAGTTACACTTTTCATCTGCTCAAGAAGAACGTTATACCGGGTTCAGACTACACAATATTTTTGTCGGTCACGATAGTCACAGTGTCAGATTACACGATTTTGACTCCTAAAATCTTGTCGTGTCGTGCGTGATGTCGTGAAGCATTGCAGACGCGGAATCGGTTGTCGTCCACTATGACACGCTACACGAACTGAAACGATGGAATCTTGCGTCCCGACGCCCAATGTCGTTTACGAATCCCCACGACACCCTACATCAAGCAAATCGTGGCAAAATCGGGCTAAAGCGACGCCCAATGTCGTTTACGAATCCCCACGACACCCTACGTCGAGCAAATCGTGGCAAAATCGGGCTAAAATCGTGTAGTCTGAACCGGGCATTAATGTCATCTTGTGCTTTTTTTGTCGGTCACGATAGTCACAGTGTCAGATTACACGATTTTGACTCCTAAAATCTTGTCGTGTCGTGGACAAGAACCATGTCAGACTACACGTTGCTTCCCGACCATTCATCGCGTGCCGTCTTTAACAACACGCGTGATGTCATCGAGAAGGCGGAACTAGCGACTGACTTCCGAAAACAAGAATGTAAACATTGCTGAAGCGCTTCCGCTATAGTTCGCCAGCATTTTTATTTATTTGTTCTGTCGTGGTAGTCCCTCGATGACACATCATACAGGCAGGAGTACTGCTGCCACAGCTCCACGAACCTTTCCTCCATCTCATAATTCCACCTAGCAGCACCATCTCTCTTTCGTTTTGCCATGTTTGAAACCTGTGTATGAAAGAGCTTCTGTGCTGCTATTGGTCAACGTCACCAATGTGACAGAACTCGTCGTGGACGACGGAAAAAAAATTAAACGTGCTAGTCTTTCTGTTGTGATGTCTTGAAGCATCGCAGACGCGGAATCGGTTGTCGTCCACTATGACACGCTACACGAACTGAAACGATGGAATCTTGCGTCCCGACGCCCATTGTCGTTTACGAATCCCCACGACACCCTACATCAAGCAAATCGTGGCAAAATCGGGCTAAAATCATGTAGTCTGAACCAGGCATTAATGTTATCTTGTGCTTCAGCAAGGTATCTCTGGCTAAAACTAGCTAACGTTAGCGTTAAAGTTAGTGAGTCCATGCTAACGTACAAACCTAAATAGCGAACTGTTCTCACGTCATGTACCGTGCAGTGAAAGTCAAAAACACATAAACGAAGGTCTATATTAGAGTGCCTCTCCATATTAATCTGGTTAAATTTAAATTAATTTAATCTTACTCTGCGGTATATGAACGGTGTTGATTCGGGATGTTGTCATTGCGATCGTGACGACCGTAACGTAATTCTCCCGTTTGCATTGTGATCTGTATTTTTACTTATTTATTTTAATATCTTTTATATATCCCTCCATGGCATATTTAAGTCCCACTTGAAGGTCCATCTGTGTCCCAAATTGATCAGAAACACCTCGGAAGAAGGTTTTCACTGACAGCTGTCAGCAACTCCGTTTGTTTGTCAGCGTGAGCAACAGTAACTAAGGGGGACGGGCTTACCGATAGGTCAGTTGCATAAACATAATGGCAGACCTACATAACTGCATAAATGTATTATGTCTGATACGATACATAATAAACTAAAAGAATAAACTATGAATGAAGATGAATATATAAGCTGTTATCAATTGTTTTGAATGAACAGTGTTCTGCTCCCTTGAACTGTCCGACACATCCACGGTAGAGAAGGAAAGCAAGAGAAGCGCTAACCCGTCCACTGCACCTTTGGCCCAAGATGAGCCTCCCTGGCTGGCTCTCGCTAAGAAGAAAGCCAAAGCATGGAGTGAAATGCCCCAGATTGTTCAGTGAAAGGCCCCGCTGGCATATGGACTTCATAATTCTTCCCTATATTTCCATACACATAAACAATACATGTGAGCAGTAATAGGAACCATATACAGCCTAATTTTGCTTAATCCGCCCGGTGTCATTAATGTTTTTCTGACGTCAGAAAGGAAACGATGCACATTAGACTGGGGCTTATGGGTAATACATTGCATTTGTATTATAATTTGGTTTGCAACAAAACAGATTTACATTTGACTGTTATGTAATGCTTCAAACTGAGGAAAAAAAATCCTAACGAGATTTGCATACAAAAAAAATTGAAAATGAGCCACCATCAAAGCTGTGTTTTTATTTAGGACTGTGTGAATACCGTAATTGCTCTTTACTAAGTAATTTTGCTATGTTACGTTATAGCCTTTAAAGTTAGTAACACGGTTATCATGAATGGAGCGGAAGGTGACTTTGTATTTATTTATCTCACTCTTGTATGTTTTATGTATTTTTGTATTTACGTGCACAGCTTTGTGACTTGTACATAAAATGTGAAGTACAAAAAGAAAGAAAAATAATAAAATGGAGCCATGTTTATTTGACCCAGACACAGATGCCAGATTTCCTTCCTCTTTCTTCGTTTTTTTTTATATTAATTTTTCATTCATTTCTGTTTCTTTAGGATTGTATTGGTTATTATCAAGTATCCAGGTAGTATTTAATGCTTTCTAAAAGCAGAAAGTATGAGCAAAAGATAACATTAAACCATCCAGTATTTGTATCTACGCTACCAGTCAAATGTTTTGAACAGTACGATTTTTTATGTTTTTTAAAGAAGTCTCTTCTGCTCACCAAGCCTGCATTTATTTGATCCTAAATACAGTAATATTGTGAAATATTTTTACTATTTAAAATAACTGCTTTCTATTTGAATATATTTTAAAATGTAATTTATTCTTTTGATGCAAAGCTGAATTTTCAGCATCATTACTCCAGTCTTCAGTGTCACATGATCCTTCAGAAATCATTCTGATATGCTGATTTGCTGCTCAAGAAACAGCAGGGGGTATTCATTTTAGAAATTAACACTTTTATTTAGCAAGTATGCTTTAAATTTATCAAAAGTGATGATAAAGACATTTATAATGTGACAAAAGATTTCTATTTCAGATAAAAGCTGTTCTTCTGAACTTTCTATTGTTTAATTTTCTACTGTGATCCTGTTGAGTCTGTGTTATAGTGAAATGTTTAGTGTGCTAAACATTAATAAGCATTAGCAAACATTTCCTATCATATTCCTGTTTTGGTACAGACCTGAGAAGCGAGTGGAGAAAAGTGCAGGTAAAGGTGAATGTAGGAAACAGTGTGACTAAGCAAGTGAAGATAGATTTGTTTAAGGAAGAAGGCGTGGCTTCCTTGTACAAAATATATACACGAAGACTTGTTTTATAATGTCCAGAATCTCATAATTTTATTGTCTCATGATTTTTTGTTATAATGTAAGTTTTATGTGTTTGCATTGAAAAAAATAAGGATAAGGATCAACTTTATTTGTCCCCGAAAGGAAATTTGTCTTGGGCAAAGTGCTACAGTGTTGTTCTGAACAAACAAAAACAATAAATAAAACAGATTAAAAAAAAAAAATTTTTAAAAACACAACAACAATGTATAAGTATAAAATGCAAAATACATACAGTGCAAAACACAATAAAGTGCTAATATGCTATATGGGCATTGTTTTTGGTAAAAATTTTAAATGAAGTTACAAAGGATCCTCTGCTGCATTTCCAGATAACATGACATTTTAATAACATTTTACCACAGAATCTCAGTTCTGTTTGAGCGCTGATATATCACAGAGGAATATATAAAGCGCGAGGCTCACCTGCTCACTTTGCGGCGAGTAAAGAGTGTGATATTCGTTCAGTCTTTTGCAAAGTTAAATTAATCGGCTTTTTAAACGAATCGGTTGATTCAACTCACTCATTAAGACAGTCACTTGCTGCCACCTACTGGCGGTCAAAGTTTCATATTTTAAAAAGTAGCTCATTTAATTTTTGCAATAATTTATTGATTAAATAAGAACCTGACATAAGAGGACAGGACACACATATGACAATAACTTTTATAATACTAAGCCAACATCTCTGGCTTTTTTTTTCTTTTTTTTGCTCAAAGTTATTTCAGGGTTTTGATCTCTCAACTGAGAGAACACATCCTGTTTATTATATTATAATGACTATTTAATATTACATTTAAACTTTGACTATTGCCTAGACATGTTGCATATTAATTGTACTATTTATGAACCTCAAAGCATATGTTTGTGTATTTTGTGTTACTCCATAATGATGTTCTATTTGAGGGCATTTGTAGTGTAGGTATAGGGCCCAAACATAACCTCATGCCCAGGGGCCAAGTCCTGCCCTGCATGTGACAAACTCTTTCCTCCAGGGACAGCAAATTTCTGTCCTCCTGAGTACTTTGAGAAGGGTGAGTACTGCGGGAAGAAGGCAACGGTGTAGTCGCTGTGTGTGCTGCTGTTTACCATGATGACCAACCGTTATCCGTACAGCAGCGATATAAAACTGATAGACACTGATGTCTGGATCGAGCCCGGCCTCTCAGATGGTAAGAACTTCATTACAACAGAGAAGAACAATTGCAATTCTTAATCTTAATCATGCAAAACAGAGAAAATAGCGGCTTTATAAATAATGGCCTTATGGATAATGCATGAATCTCTGACTGTTTAGAAAGCAGGTGTGAAGTTGAAGGAAATAATCAGAAATTTCTCTCATTTTTCTGCACAGAATGCTGCCGTTTTATTCCCGGTTGCCTAAAGAGTGACCCGGAGCAGAGGGTTCATCTGGAGGAGATGCTCTCCCATGACTGGTTCAAAGTAAGTCTAACACAAGCTAAAATGATTTGTTTATTTTTGTTGATTTGGTTTGATCAGAATACCTTCTGCAACTGTTATATAGTCAATCCATATACACTACACAGGATGTATTTTTATACCTTATGAAGTATGTTTGTGTAATTTGTATAATTTCTAATTGTGTTTCAGGTCCTGTAGGTCGTGGTGAAGAGGGTCAGTCTTGCGTCTGGAGGACTGAGACAGCTGACCCCTCCATTTCTCCAGCTTTAGCGTCTTGCAGGGCTGGCAGGCCTCGGTTGCGTCTGGTGCCTTTGCTTGAGGCAGTAGTTTTAGTGTCTTGAGGAACTACTCGCCTAGGGATGTGAGTTGTACATAGTTTAGTTGTAGTTAGTTAAGTACTGCACCATCCTATTATTAATCATATTATTAATAATGGAGTCACCCAGAGTAGGCCTGTTGCAATAATCAATATATCGACTTATCGCACAATATATGTACATGACCTCAATCATTTTTGGTGACGCAATATATCGCCCATTATATTTACATATAAATTAACGTCACCATGTTTTTTGCATTCCACTTGCGCCTGTGTCTTTTGCAGCTTCTCGTACATAACGTGGTGTAGTCATGAGGTGCTAGTTCAAATTTAAAAAATGCTTCTACAAACAGTTTCATCTGCAGATATGGCCTTGTTTAGGGACCTGTGCCTTTGTGCATACGGACATCTAACTGATAAGTAGGGATTGTGTTTTTCAGCAATACAGTGCACCCTTGGAAGTCGTGGCCTAATGGTTAGAGTCGGACTCGTAACCCAAAGGTTGCGGGGGAAAACCAAGAAGGCCAGGGAAAACTCTGTAGATGGAAAAATCTCCATACTGTAGAAGCACTGTGTTGAAAGAGCAGATGCCACAGGACTGAAATGTGATGGAGCATCACTTAACCATTTCTCCTGTTCTATCTTGCTTTCAGAACAAGAACCACCTGAAGACTCCCTGTAAAGAGACATCACCCTCACAATGAGTCTCTTCACTGGGTTTGGCAAGTCTTTCCCTGTTCTTTGTGAAAAAATGCCAGTTCCCAGGTATGATTCCATCACAATTTGTTGGTGTAATCTATAGATTGCTCCTGCTGACTATATCCAGCCTCTTATGAAGACTTCAGATGAAGCTGACTCTGAATAAACATACAAAACTGCTACATTTGCCTTGCATTGTAATCATGATCACATCCTGTAACCATTGCTTTAATTTGTCCATTGTTTCTGTATACATGTTTCTGAATACATGACGATTTGTATAGCCTAATTTTTGAACATTTCCGCCATATGAACATTACTTTGACACAGTTATACCTGTTAACAGAACTCTTATTTGTAATGTAGAAACATTCATTTTCTGTAAAGCTGCTTTGAAACAATGTGTATAATAAAAAGTGCAATACAAGTAAATGTGAATTGAAGAAAATTTGATTTTTTCTTTTCTCCTTTCCAGATCAGTAGGGAAACCATACATTCACACTCCTTTCTGTGAGTGACTGGAGCACTCCCATGCAGCACAACTATAGTGGAGACTGTTCAAGGACAACAGGCTTTATAGTATGTAAATAAGTGCATAACAAAAGTCAAAATACATCAAATATATGATTAAATGTGTAAAAATGTTTGGAGTTGTTTTACATTTGAATATACTACAAATATATTTTTATATATTCATAACTGAGGGGTGCACAAGAATCAAAAACATTAAACAAGATTAATTTTCACTTAATCTTAAAATATCTTCACTTATTTGGAATGAATTTTCTAAGACAACAAACTTAAAGGGGTCATATGACGTTGCTAAAAAGAACATTATTTTGTGTATTTGGTGTAAAGCGATGTGTTTACGCGGTTTAAGTTTAAAAAAACATTATTTTCCACATACTGTACATTATTGTTTCTCCTCTATGCCCCACCTTTCTGAAACGCGTCGATTTTTACAAAGCTCATCGGTCTGAAAAAGCGAGGTGTGCTCTGATTGGCCAGCTATCTCGTGCATTGTGATTGGCCGAATACCTCAAGCGTGTGACGGAAATGTTACACCCCTTACCATATGTGGAATATCAGCTTCCAAAGCAATATTGACAGGTGATAATGTCGTCGTTACTACACTCTAAAAAATGCTGGGTTAAATACAACCCAGTGCTGGGTAAAATAGGGACAAACCCAGCAATTGGGCTGTTTTGACCCAGCGTCAACCGCTGGGTC